AACTTACAGAAATAACCAAGCACAAAATTTACTTCCTTTTTTCCGTTTTCCAATGCTGTAACAGAACGACGACGTTTATTTGCAGTAGAGAGCCTTCAGGCGACAAAACCGGCACTTTTTCCTGGCGGTGGCACTCGTCTTTCCATGTCAGCCGCAAAGCTCCGGTCTGGTTCATCTTTCCACTATTGCTCTCAAGTCTCAGTTGCATTTCATTATTTGGAATATACTCTGTTTACTTTACCATTGTCCCTTTGACATCTCGCTCTCTGATTTGTCTTTGATGTCCGTTTCGATTGCAAAAGTGTTACCCCGGAGTAGCCTAAGCTCATATATATCATCCTATTTGTAAACAATTGGTTCCCTTTTCATAACTTCAGCACACATATTCTTGTCGGAATATCCGCGGAAGGAAATATGATACATAGTTGATAGTTCCTGTGATTGCCGCTGTTTCCTTCGATTGATTAACCATTGCGTTATAGGGCTAGGAAAGTATGAATAATATTGCTGAAAGACCACTTAATGAAGAGGTAGAAGAAGATGAGGATGAGGATGAAGCAAATGGTAGAGGTCTTGATGCGTGGGAGAGAACTTATGCAGAGGACAGATCATGGGAATCTTTGCAAGAGGATGAATCTGGAATGCTTCGTCCCATTGATAATAAGGCCACATACCATGCTCAATATCGTAGGCGTCTTCGAGCTCTTGCTTCACTAGCAAGTGCTGCTCGGATTCAGAAAGGCCTTATTCGCTACCTATACATTTTTATTGACCTGTCTAAGGTATTCTATTATTGCTCAGTGGTTCTTGTGTGAATATCATATTTTATGTCGGTGTCTGCAGTTGGCCTTTTATCAAGATGGAACAATGCTTTCATTATCCCCAATCATAAACTTGGGTTTTAATAAGAGCACATGTTGCTTATTCAGTGGCTGGAAATCTGTGTATTTCCATGTGCTTTAGATGCTTTTTTGTTTTGTATTTTATGTCTTTGTTTTTGTTTGTTTGTTTTCTATTTACATACCTCGCTTTTGTGAATGCATCTATGATATTCTTCATCATATGTTCGCTTTAGAATTATTAATTTAAATTTTCATTAAATTATTTAAAAGCACATTATGTTCATATTGGAATTTTCATGCCCACGAATACTTATGCCTTAAAGGGAATTCGAAATTGTCTATCGCTTTAAATACTTTATTTAACTTACAATTGAGGTAATAAGAATACATTGAGAAGACTTTCTCAGAGATGTACAGACTAAATTATTATACTTTGACTTGCAAAGAAAAGGGAGTTGAAATTGTTTTTTATCCTGGAAGTGTTTCTGGAGTAGCTATAGGCATTGGGTATCATAGAGAAATTTGAGCAATGTAGCATGTAATCTTTCAAAACCAGTGCAATGTTACCATTTTTTCACTGTCATGTCAACCTTGGGTCCAAAAAATCCTCGTGACCTGCACTAACTGTTGATTTGATTTAATGTTGACTATTAAGGAAGGGTAATATTGTACTCGTTTTGAAGGATTATTAACTCCATTTCTTTACAATTTTTTTAAGTTTTCCATTGCTCCTCTGGGAACAGTCACGACTTTCGATGCAAAAATGGACTTAAAAAAAAAGATAAAAGATTTAGCATTGTGGTTACATACACGTTCTGTTAGTCCTAATCCCCCTCCCTCCATTATCTAATACACAAATTGGATTTTTTAATTATGATAAGGCAGCTGCAGAGACAGACTTCTGTCCATGCAGGATGGCTGTGATGGTAAAACAAGTTGAGGCATTTATCAGGGAATTTTTTTATCAGAACCCACTGAGTCATGTTGGTCTGGTGAGTGTAAAGGATGGAGTTGCTCACTGTTTAACAGAACTTGGTGGCAGTCTTGAGTCCCATATTAAAGCTTTGATGTGTAAAATGGAATGTTCAGGTGACCCTTCCCTGCAAAATGCACTAGAGCTTGTTCATGGCTATCTAGATCAAATTCCATCATATGGTCATCGAGAAGTTCTGATCTTATATTCAGCTCTTAATACATGTGATCCTGGTGATATCATGGAAACCATCCAGAAATGCTAAAAGGGTAAAATAAGGTGCTCAGTCAGTCATTGGTCTTGCTGCTGAAATGTTTCTATGCAAACGTCTTTGTCAGGAAACTGGAGGAACATACTCTGTTGCAATGGATGAGGTTAGTTGAAGTGGTTGGTTTTAAGTAGCCCTGCATATAACTATTGCCCTGATCCCCTCTGTAAAATTGTGTATGTTGCCCAGGATAAGCCCTAGTCTGAAAACTCTATACAAGGATTTAGAATCTCAACATTGTCTTCCTAACATTGCACATGATTCACTTCAGTCATGTTAATCTTGAAAACTCTTTTATATAGTTTTTTTTCCATTCATACAGTTACATCTTATGTAGGCCCACCTGAAAGAGTTAACTCTGGAGCAAGCACCTCCACCTCCAGCAATAGCAGAGTATGCCACTGCCAGTTTAATCAAGATGGGCTTTCCTCAAAGAGTAGCTGAAGGTTTCATTGCAATTTGTGCATGTTACGAGGAGTCTAAGGAAGGTGGTGGATATACTTGTCCGAGATGCAAAGTACGTGTTTGTGAGCTTCCCACCGAATGTCGTATCTGTGGATTGACCCTTATCTTGTCACCACATTTGGCAAGGTCATATCACCATCTCTTTCCAATAGTTCCTTTTGATGAGGTGTCCCCATCATCCCGTAATGACCCACATCAGAAGCTTCGCAACTCTTGTTTCGGCCGTCAACTAAATCTTCTTAATCCAGGTAAGGTTTACAGGTAGGCAATTGAGCTTGAGTTTCTTCAATGTGTATGATTATAAGCAGTCATTTTTTCAAGACATAAATCTTGCGTTCTAGTCATTATGGTGACGCATCTGTGAATTGATGGAAAACTTTCACAAGTGAACCTAAATTTAAAAATAGGGAGAATGCGAGTAAAGGACTCCGGAAGTAATTTAATTTCATAAAAATGCTGCTAACAAGTAAACATTAATAATTAACAAGTGAAGTTCTTGTTTTAACAAGTATTCAATCTATCTAGGTTCTTATCAGATATTAAATTCTTTTAGAAGTTCTTCATTGATGTTTTCCCTTAAAAATATGTTAAATTACAGTTAATAAAAATTTCAGAGTCTAAAAGAACTTGAATTTTAACGATATCCAATTATGTGGTAGAACAAGTTAAACGCTTTTGGTTTAGGGTGTGCAATAATGCAAGTATTTATTCTTTGTGCAAGTGAAATATAATAACACAGGCTAACTGCTGAGAACCTACAGAAATTTCAGCTAACAAAATTGTAAAATCCTGTGCTAATTCTTGTTTTCTTACAAAAGGTATTGTTATTGTATGAAAAATATACCAATGCGACAAATGACAATACAAATGTTGCTCCATTTTTTAACACCTTTGCTGCCTTACCGGCTGTGGTACAGGAAACAAGGGTGGTCTTTCTGTTATTTGCCCCAAATGCAAACAACATTTCTGTTTTGATTGTGACGTCTACAATAATGAGAGCTTGCATAACTGCCCAGGCTGTGAGAGCTTCGGGCATTCTAAGATGGTCACTGTAGCATGATTGATCTATATTCATTAATTCATTAGATGCAATGGAAATAAGAACGTATCATGAAATTTCAACCTGTTTATGTGTTTGAGTAACATGGTTTGTTTGGATTTTTATATGTAATACTGATTGACATTGATGATTCAATAAGAAATTGATGTAAATTTAATTATGAATACAATATGCACCATGTTGTATAGAACCTTTTTTTTTCTTGTAAATTTATTGTGTGTGTGTATATATATATACTCTCATTTATATATTGAAATTTAAGTGAGTGACCTTTTTTAAGTCGTGGCAATGATTCAAGTCGCTAGCAAACTCGCTTAGATCCCATACTCGTATTAATTTGGGAGTCACTTTCACAAACTATATTGGATATGTATTTACATCAAGTTGGATAAGGAAGACAAAGGATAGCAACAATTTTTAAATTTTTTGGTTTGTTGTTATATTTAAGGGTGTGAGCGAGGGCGCATGTGCTACATGACATACGCTAGTGCTAAGTGGTTTTGGTGAGAAAAATAACTTTATGGCCCAATGGACTGCAAATGAGTTGGTTTGATTCTATCCTTAAAAAAAAATAAACTCAAATTTTGTCCCATAAACATTTAAAAAATAGGCATTGGCCCCTAGTGCTAGAGATAATGACTACTTCAGCACAAAATCTTGGATTTGTTCTGATTTATCTGCACCGGATATCAAGTACTTCATCAGGGGGGGTGAAATCAAACTGATGTGTTACTAAACTTTAGATGAAAAGAAAAGGGGTTAAGATGACCTTATTTGGTACATAGAATTGAAGCATATAGAAATCACAAATTAATGTTAAATCACCATAACCATGAGAACACATCTCCCATGGCTTTTGAAATGGATGGAGCAAACAAAACAAACTTTTCTCAAGGATTCTTGACGTACAAAATTATATGACAGTTTTTTTCCTCATATTATTTAATGGTTCTTGAACAGTCAAATATAATTCAATATATATGACGTATATTGATGCTCAAACTTGGCCAAACCAGACGCCAAACCGAAAAGATTAATAAATCTATTCGATTTTCTAAAAAGTGTTATGCTTTAATAGCCCTTCAATTCCAATCCAACCTAGGTAAACAATTTTTCTGTAGTCATTAGCAAGCATGATTAACGGGCTGATCAATCTAACTGTCTGGTCGGATTTGGTTCTTAAAACACGGTTCAAGACTTCTCATTTTCTAAATTCTTTTCAATTAATAGTAAACATAAATTTTTAAGGCTCTTTAAATTGAGTGGCATATAATTTGACACCACGTTGAGGAGAAAAGCATTCATGTCATCACCGCCCATATCCCTTATATATTAACTTCAGATTCAGATCTCAAACACTGATCATAAATATAATATTCAGTGTCACGAATTGAAAGCATATATAAAGGTGAAAAACTAATAAGAACCAAAGGGAGAGTAAAACAAAATCCCACATGCTCTTTCTATATATATATATATATATTTGACTATATATGTTTGATTGAACAGATGACCCAAAACATAGAATTTGAGGATGTCGAATATATCATTAGTTGTTCTTAGGAGGATGGTGCCTTGGGCCGCGATAATCTGCACTAAAAGCCACAAAACCCATATCAACCTCATCTGACCACCGCCTTCTTAATCTTCTCTTCCGTTTTTCGTTGTAATGTGACACTGACAACGGCGGCGGCGGCGGCGGCGGCTGCTTCACAATCTTGCCTTTGTTTCTTACAACCTGTGCCTCCACACTGATGATCACTTTCTTTGAGCTCTTTTCATCATCAAATATTTTTGTAGGCTGGCTTTTGGTGGTAGAAGCAGTTGCAGCACCTATCTGTTCAACAGGTTCCTAATATATTATATATATACTAGCTCTACAGTATTATATACACTTCTATTAGGCTATGACATTTAACATTTTTGAAGGAGTCAGTAACATTTTCTAGATCATGATGTTCTCATAAATCAATTTTATGAAAAAATTTCCCTGAAGAACAAAACTGACAACAAGAATAAATAAGAATTAATGCAAATTAAATTAATGGAGTATATGTATGTACGTACCTTTGATGAAGAGCAAGTATCAGTACTAACTTCAGCACCTGTGCATATACACGCACACATTAATTATTTCACGTTTGTGATAATCCTTTTTAATTTAACACTTTCTTGCAAAAAAAATGAAATTTCTTAAAAAGAAAGGACGAAATGGAGAAATAAATATTGAGATGGCAGACCTGCAGGGTGTAATCTAGCAGTGGATATCAAGGCAGCGCAGAGCAGAACAAACAAAACAAAAGCACTTGTATTATTCATCACCATGACCATGTATCTATCTCTGCAACAAAAGGATTCTGAAATATTGCAGAAGAGAGGAATCACTTCAAATGAACATTCTAGTATTTATATATGTAACGAGGGAAACACAAGTCAAAGTTTAGGTTTAGGTCTTCACACACCTCTTGAAGTTCGAGTCGAAGATGAGAGTTAAGTTCCAGCAACACCTACAACGTTTTGGTTTTTCACAAACACTTGCAATTATATAACAATATAATGCTGCCTTTATTGGAAATTCACAATTGTGAATCCCCACGATATCGATCCCATGTGTCTCCCATGAATCCTTCCATCACACTAGTTTTTGTGCGCGCGCGCTTATATATATGTGTACAATTGAAATTTTCTTCATGCATGCATCAGATATTAAGAGTAGCTAAAATTTCTTTCACTTTCTCTGATAGTATATACTCTTCCTATTTATAGGGTAGAGCAAGAATAAAAAATTTAGTCATATTTATAAGGTACTTGTCAATTTTCAACGTTTTTATTTATATTTTTGTCCTTATTATATGTTTTGAATAAAAATACCAGTAATGAGATTTATCAGAGGTAAAGGTAAAAATTTGTTAAATTTTAAGATAATATTAATGAGAGGCTTAAAATTTTTCTTGATTCCAGTAAAATATATTGGAAGTGATTAGAGGGAGTATACATAAACTTCTTTCCACTTGTATTTTAAAAATCATGGTAAACTACATATACTGTTTACGAGCCTGAAAAGCTACCACTCTTAGATTGACCAAAATGAAATGGAAAATACTCTCACATCCCTTCACAGGATCTCTAAATACAAAAAACTTCTATAAAATCACAAAATTACTCTTAAGCCTCATACCTTTTACTAAATTGTCAATTTGCTGTATTGAAGTTGTCAAGCTATATTTAATAAGCCTCATCTTTTAATGAAATTGCTTAGCTAACAAATAAGTAACATTGATAATTAACAATTACTAAGCCTCACATCAATAAAGAACATTAGACTTCACACTAATTGTGATTTCATAAGAATTTTTTTTTGTGTATTTAGATTGTTTGTGTATGAACCTAAAATATTAAACAATGATTAAAGTATGAACCTAAAATTTTTTTCCCCATCAATTAATACCAAAGGCATGATTAAAGTATTAAACAATGTAGATGGAGCTTCATGTAATATGGGTTCCATCTATTTGTTTTTTTATAAACTTTGATTTCAATTTCAATATTATATATTCACCTTGTGTGTACAAACTTATAACTATAATTTATGGTATGTTTTGAATATTTCTTGAAAAATGAAAATTTGCGGTATTGTTTTGAGGGAATTAGGTAGGTTAAGATGAATTCTATGTGAGAAGTAGTGGTCCAACAAGGATGAATGTGTAGATATTAATTGGAGGGACAGAGATCAGTGAAGCGAAAACTCATTATTCTTGGGAGAAGAGACAGAGTCCGCCATGGAAGACAAAAAGTGAAGAAACGTGGAATGGAAGTTTACATGTGTGTTTTGCGTTTGTCTACAACCATGCAAATATCAACGTAAGAAAAATCAAAAGCTGTGCTTGCTTTAGCTACTTTGCCGGGGTAATAGCTAGCTGCACTTGGTTTAACAGTGTGATCAATTTATATTTTATGTATTTGAAGTTACACTTTTCAATGCACAAGAACATGAACATTTTGCACTTCTAGGCCTCCATGTGTTGCCATACTCACACACTTAAGTATAAGATCTCAGTGCCATGACTTAGATTGAAACTTCTATTCACATCGAAATACTATACTATTTATTACTGATCAATCAAGTCGAATTTCAATCAATTGAAACCGATATAAAATATATTTTTTATATCAGTTAAGTGCCTAATCGTTGTAGAAAGTCTCATTAAAACACCTAATAATTATGAGTTTGCCATCACGTTTTTCTCGACGTCGCTTTTGGTCTAACCAACTGATGTAAGAAGAGTTTTTTTGGTACTTACACTTAATGCCTTTTACTTTTCATTTAAGGAACGAATAATTGAATAATCTTAAGTTTGATTTCTATTCTTTTAAAAATGTTTGTTGCATATGTGTTTCTGTAAGAAAATAATTGTATATATACGCGGTGTTACTTTAATTTTTCTTTATATATATATATATATATATATATATATCCCCATACTTTTATCGATCATGAACAACCGTTAATGAATATCTAAACAGATCATAGAACGTATAAAATTAGGGAATGTCTGATTTAGCATATATATAGTACTGTAGCTTTCTTGCTGATTTGCATCTGAGATATTATATTATAAACTACTTTTGTAAATTGATGTAGACTTTAAAAGAAGAAACTGAAGTGATATTTGTGATTAATATTGAAGTTAAGAAAGGAATGATGAACATACTATTGAATGAATAAATTATTGGCGGGGTGGGCTGTGAGAGGTGAAAACAAGAAGAAAAGTTAGGGTAATGAAAAAGGCGTTGGTTCCAATTTGTCCCTACTTTTTTCAAAACCAGTGGGTGATGACTCATAGATATCTGTGATTAGTGTCTCTTCAGATTAATATCAATATTTTTGCATAGCTAAGCCCTAAGAGATAGATGGGAAAGTGTGCCTTAAACTTGGAATTAGAATTGCATGTATCTTCTTCTTCTTCTTCTTCCACGTGCTCTCCACATTAATTTAACTTTTTACTTGCTCATTAATTTCAACTCTTCTCACTATAACATGGCCCGAAGTTGAATCAGAATAACATTTTCAATGTTCACTGCTGATCAGAATAGACTTATTATCATCAGTTTGAGCTCTCTCTTGAGATATAGTACTATAGTGTAAGTGATCTGCTTATATATATACATATATACATATATATATATATATAGTGTCTTTGGAATTTTGATTAAAGCCACTTATATACTGATTTACTTATGTTTGAAAGTAATTCAGTGCAGTTTCTAGGTTTTAATTAGTCCAAATCTTTACTGTTCATTTTGATTTGTCAGGTGCATGCACCATCCTTATACTAACCAAAGATATTGCTTTAGACGTTCTGGGTTGGATGATGTGATATGGAGATCTTCTAAATATGATTAATTAGATTTAAGAACTCATGGATTTTGGCTACTAAATTCAACTCCAATAAACCACCTTGCAACTGCGAATACAATGTTATATGTTTTAAGGGAATCGGATCGTGACTATATATGTTTTGTACATAGCATAACACGAGTTACATTATTTATAACTTATCAATAATATGCTTATAAATTTTTGGGGAAAACATAATAATTTGATCCTTTATAGTTTCTTCAAATCTTGCTTTCCGTTCTTGTAGTTTTTTTTTAATGTTGTCAATTTTTATAAGAACTCAAAATACTAAAACAATAAAAATTATAGAGACTTGAAAAACAACTGTCACCTGATAGGCACTAAAAAAATTACAGAGACTAAAAATAAAACTTGACAAAGCTATAGGAATCAATAATTATGTTTTTCCTAAAATTTTTGGTATATTATAAGTATGGGATATAGATTAATTGAAGAATGAATAATGCTTTTTGACATATGAAGTCCTAAGCTTGAAAATGAAGTGTTAATGTCAGTTTTATTGCATGCATGAGGATATTGGAGAGACAAAAATAAATAAAGTTTATTTGAGCCATCTAAGAACAAAGTAAGGATGCAATGCTTTTCTTCTTCTTCTTGTGATTTTTTTTTTTGGGTAATATGCAATGCTTTTCTTTCACACATGACTTATTGGGTGGTCTAGCAGCTTCAACATGTATTGGTCTCGGCTTATTAAGCAGATTATTTTGCATCAGTTAAAAAAAAAAAAAGCAGCTTTGATATATATGTGACTGAGAAGGGAAAGAGAGATGAGAGAAAAGAGGGATCTAGGATGATAGAGAGAGCAGAGAAAAAAAATGCCCCATAAATAAGATATCTTTAATTAAATCACGCATTTTTTCATATTATTATTTTTATTTAATATGGTGTCTTAATTAAAAATTTATAAATTATACCCTTTAATTAAGGGTATTTTTTGACAAAAATTTATTAATTGTATTTTAAAAAATTAAAAATACCTTATATTTTTTGACATGATATTTTTTAAAAAAATCTTATAATATTAAACCAAGGGAGTAATACATAATTTTATTCAATTAGCAAAAATGTTTTCAATGAGAAATGGTACGAGGGTTATTTCTAGAGCCCTGGTTAAATTTAAAAAAAGATGAAATAGTAATTGATAACCCAATCGTAATCATAATTTTGAAAAGATATAACCCGTGAGAAATCTAAGCAATTCAAAAGATGTCCCACACATATCGTCCTCCACGCATGATGCTTGTACAGAAAAAAGATTGAGATGATAATTGACAGGAATAGTTATGAGTGTAAATATATTCCCCCAGTTCACAGCCAAAACAAGAAAAGAAAAAAGAAAAAAGAAAAAAGGAACGAACGAACGAACGAAGAAATCCAAGAATTTGATGAGATTTGAGGTTACATTTGCTTCCTAAAATATAATGAAATGAAATGAAATGAGTTAAAAAAAATTAAGATAAAAATAAATTCAATTATCTTTTTTTTTATGATAAGTGTAATAAAATTTATTAATATATACTATAAATATGAGAATTATCATACTTTTCAAAACTTTATGAATCATAATTCTTAATTTTATGAACTAAATTACCCATCTCCTTATGAATGTATTCACCATCTTTTTTATCATCTTATTTTTATTTTTATTTTTTTAATTCATTTATTTAATTCTATTATAGTAAGCAAACGAGGGTTTAATTTAATAAATGCCATTAATTCATTTCATTTAATTTTATTATAGTAAGCAAACAAGGGTTTTATTTAATAAATGCCAGAAAATTAGAAAATTTGGAAATGAAAATTTGGAAGAAAAAAAGCATGATGATGAGCATTGTCATTATTTGGGGCAACACCGCAACATGGAGTTGAAAATAATTTAATTTGGGATGTGGTATGATTAAAGAAAGATAGATACAGAGAGATGGTTTGTCATGTGTGCGTGTGATGTCAGATCACAGATGTGGTATAAGGCTTTTTGATTGAATTGAATTGCATGCTTCCTTTCGTAATCAACGGTTCTCATGTTCATGGGCCCCGCGGCCCCTTCAAACCCGGTCCAGTTTTGGTGTGGTGGCTAGTGTTATCATCATATTTCAATCTTTTCAATTACATTTTGATCATTTATATTCAAATTATAAAATTAAAACAAAATTTTATTTGGATTATCATGTTTTAATCTGTATTAAATAGTCTGAATTTTAGTACTTATCATTCAATGATCAGTGCTGAAATTGAATTCTTCAAAGTTTAAACATAGCTTTAGTTAATTGCCTGCTTGTTTATTTACTTATTTCCTTCCTTCCAAAATTATAAGGCTAAGGGCTCTTTCTTTTCTGGAATTTGGATAGGGTGATTTCTTTTACTCATAAGATAATATTTTATGAAATGGGTAATTAAAAAAATAAATAAACGAATGGATAGAGAGAATTAGTGAACTTCATGCCTTTTTTCCCCCTCCAATATCTGAAATATTTGATCCAAATAGGGACGAATGCAAAAACCACTATATGGGGAGGAAAAATTTGAAAACTACTTAAAATGTGGGGAGCAATGTTAATTTTCACTTTTTTTAAGTAAAATGAAAAAATTTCTAAAAAGTTATAACTAGCCAATGAAATTGTGGGGAATAAGCATCCCCTTGCATATAGGGAGACTGTTCTCTCCCTTTTTCCCCTTCTATTTTTTCAATCCTCGCCATTCATATTATTTTATTAAATAATTTTTAATTATAAAATTAATAAATGGTGAGGATTGAGAAAATAAAAGGGAAAAAATGGACAAACCCCTTCCCCTTCTGTATGTGCCCAAATCCAAATTTATTTGGTCAATATCATGTAAGTATCTCTTTGAAGAACATATACACCTTCCACCAAAAATTTAATCACTATCACTTATTCAAGGTTTAAGCACAAGATGACTAAACTTCTTGCATAATTTTACTTTAGGAGAATCATATCTAATGACCTTTTAAAAGAATTATTTACAGAGAATGATCAGTATGAAATTATTTGTTTTTTAAAATGGTAATAGTAACTTTTTTTGAATGGTGACTTGTTGTTGGTTAATTTCTATAAATAATTTTTTTAAGAGATCTTTGAATACGATTCCTCCTTTTGTTGTTAATGTCATTCAATCTTCAGTAGACTGTATTATATTAAGATATAGGGGCTGTATTAAGAATTAAGATAATGTATGGGAATTAAATAATTAATTTTGTATGCATAAAAATCAAAATCTAGATTCTTTGCACATTTGTAGTTGATAAAATATTGTATATTAAACAAATAAATATATAATAGGAATGACACTTAGATCCAAAAAATTAATTAATTATAATTAAATTAAAAATTTATTGAAACATGAATCATAAAAATCTATTGAGATTTGAGACAGTTGCAAACAAAAAAACTTTAGTTGTAAATTACTAGAAATAACTAATTTACAACTAACACTTCTATGTCTACAATTGTTTAAATCTTTATAAAAAAAAGAAAATCTAATTGTTATTAAATTGATCTTTTAGTGTGTTCAAGTATCATTATCCCATAAATATTAAGAATATAAAGTTGAAAGAAAATGTATACGCCATGAGATTTTCACTTGCTATTTCTCTTACGCTATGTTCATTACACATAGAATTTAGATTTACTATTCTATTTATTTATTCTTTAAGGTTTTAAAATGCATGCATGATGATTGTTAGGCACAGTTGTTTTTCTTAAAGAATAAAGTAAATTGAAGCTTAACTAGAAAGACACTAATTACTAATTAATTAATTAGAGCAACAAGCTTTTTGATTGGAGAGGTCAAAATAATAATAATAATAATACACATACGTACCAATGTGCAATCATGGGATGTTTCTAGTGTCCTCATTACATTTGCCCCACCACCACTTTCATCTTCTTTATTCACCAACCCCACCTACCCATCATTATCTTCACTTTTAACACCTAATTTTTTTAAAATTTCTAAATCCTCACAAAATCTTTAAAGCCCTATCTTGTGTTCATGGGATTAATTTCTTAATTACATGAATAATCATAGTCTTCAAAACTAAATTAATTTTAAAGTGGTGGGGATGGAGCTGCGTGATGGATCCATTTTGAAATTTGAATATAGGCTCTATCTCTCTCTAGCCTTTTTAAATTTCTTAGGCTCATCATCCCATCTTAATAGTAAAAACCGAGGCCTGTGGGATTTACCAAATCTTGAAAAACAAATTAATTATTTGTGGTTTTAACACTTTGATCATAGCTTAGGGACATGGAAGCCACTAATCAAGCTCAGTTATATAAAAAAGATGTTCTTCTTCTTTTTTTTAACCATTTTTTGACAAAAAAGAATAACTCCATATCACAAAGTGAAAAAAATCAAGTTCAAATATTTTCAAAACCAGTCGGATTATGTTTTTTAAAAGAGTTTTTTGTATTTACATGCAATTAAACTTAAAATCTCATGTTTGAACGATTATAATCTTTTCACTAGGGCTAGTACTTATTGTAAAAAGTCATGACATTATAGTTGAAAAAAAAAATGATATTATAACATGATTAACTCTTAGAACTCCCCACGAATATAGTTTTTTTTTTTTTAAGGACAGAGAGAGTATGAATCCCAAATTGATATTTTTGAGGCATGCAATTTGAAGAGATTCTCAATTAGATTTTTAGTGACGGTTAAAATGACAAGACAAAATAACTGTTGGTGAATGAAAACCCATACGGTAGAAATCAAAATTACCTTGGAAAAGAAAAGTGGGCCGGCCAAAATCTTTACCAAGGAAAAACATTTACACGTCATACAAAACAGAACAAATTACTTTCAAAGACTCTCATTTTATGAAAAGTTATAGTATAATTAAACGCTCAACTTATGAAGCCTGATTTACAATTTTATGACGTTTTTATTTTTAATTTTGTGTTGGCCTTCAATTTTATAATGTATAGAGATGAAAGAAAACCTAATACTCCATAAAGACCAATGCAATAACTTTTTTGACAGAAAAATATCCTGCAAATACTAATGGCAATAATTTAAAAAAATATATTGTAAATTAAGAAAATAAAGACTTTCAAGCTAGGCAATGAAATATTTAAGATATTAAAAATTGGATTAATCATTGAATTGATTAAGATGCTAGCTTAAAAGTTGATTGTTAAAAGTTAAAATTGCAGTCAAATTGCAATTAGATCAATCATAATAAAAAATTCAAAATATTTTTTTGAACAAAATAATAATAATAATAATAATATAATAATAATAATAATAATAATTTGATGCTTAAAACTTATTTAAACTTGAGCATCTTTCATTGGTTGTAAATTTTATCATATCTGAGTCTTCAAATCTGATTTTGCCTATAGTGGGAATCTGGTGTCTTTGCTTGTCTGAGATTCTTGTTTTAACTTTTTAAGGAATTATATCCATAACTGTTACACATTTAGGCCCCGGAAATCACTCTCTTCCCATAACAAAATTCCGACAAACATTCCTCCTACCTTGTCCCGTATGTCTCTCTCCCTAGAAAATGTTCAAAGCACAAATCTTTTTCTAGAGAACCAAACAAAAATCAAACTTATTCTGATTCTCCACGCTCCCTCTATCCCAATTTAACCTCTTTTGCTTTCCAAAACAAACTCTGTCACTCTCACTCTCACAACGACTCAAAGTACACTACCAGCCGACGCAGCGAAATTAAGAGCTTACTTACAGATTTCTGTTATCAGCCATGCAGGTCTCTTTGATTAGCCTCTTCTGAAAAACCACCAACTGTTCGACGATTGTGCTCTGTTTTTGGTGTAGCCTAGCTTCCATTCTCGTCGGTGAATGATATGGGGAATGCAACGTCGTCCATGGCAGCGAAATTCGCCTTCTTTCCTCCGGACCCGGCGTCGTATACTCTGTACGAGGATGAATCGAGCAAGAAGCTGAGGATGTCCGATGTGGCTTACCAGAGAGATGACGTTGACGTGATGAAGCTGGCCACTAAGAGAGGGAACGAGATTGTGGCTATGTTTGTGAAGAACCCGTCTGCTTCTTTAACTTTGCTTTACTCTCATGGCAATGCTGCTGATCTTGGCCAGATGTTTCACATTTTCACGGAGCTCAGTATTCACCTCGGTGTCAATCTCATGGGGTCTGTGATCTTTTCTTGCCTTTTGCTTACTTGAGTATTATGTTATGAGTTGGTATGATGTTTCATACACATTAAGAAATAAGACATGTTCAGATGGGATGAAATGAAATATCAGCTGAAATGGTGTCTCTTAAGACTATGAAGAGTCTTTAGCTCATTAAAGCCAAAAAGGATGATATATGGTTGTGTTGAAAACCTTTGTCTTCATTGTTTTCAGAAAATGAATATGTTGTCTCTGGTTCAAATCAGTGTGACATTTATTTCTGATATGTAGGTACGATTATTCTGGTTATGGACAATCTTCTGGAAAGGTATGTGGTGTGCCTCCTACTATCTGTTCTTATCCCAAAAGATTTTCCCCCTTTACTACGGAGTGTCAAATTGATCGAGCTCAGCAAGCCCAACATGCTGAAGCACGTGTGATTGGCTGAATATGCAGAAAGTCAAAAAGAGAGCATAATTTGATCTCACTTTTTTGAGCCTAGAGCCCTAAGGCCACATATATTGTAATTAAATATACTTTTTCATTTGGTGAAGAAAGCATTACCTATTTGTTTTACTGCAATTGGGACCAGCTGATTAAGGTAATCACATGTTTTGAGATAGGTTAAGATGGAAGCATTAACAATATATATGCATTTTAAAATTAGACTCGTGTTCCTATGTATCACACCATATGACGAGTAAGTCACATTGTTTATAACTTGTAACATGAAGGCCACAGACTATCTCTCTCTCTTTTCCGAAAAATACGGAAAAGAGTGACTTGGGGTGACAGAGTTTGCTAAAAAATATAACAATAATTGTTTTAAGACAGTGTCATGTTGCTGCTTAAACCGTCCGAGTTCATTGCAAATGGAAAATCAGCTCATTAGGCATGCCGAATGTATCACACTGTAAAGTAGTATTAACTAATAAAGTTGAAAGCGATGTGCATATTTATTTAAAAATGCACCCTACTTTGCTGTTTTCTTTTCTTTTCTGCTAAATGGCTAATTTGACTTGGGAGCACAGTATTATTACTCCGTCAATGACGCAATGAAACTATGGTTGGTAATTCAGTAAAGCAGTTCAGTACTCGAAATACTGAGCTCTTTTAGGTTGTTTCAAGCCACTACCTCAGAAGTTTCACATGCATGTTTTCGTAGAGCGTTATGGTACCTGGTTTTTGAAGAGAATGTCACACTAATTAGTTCCAACGTGTTTTGTTATTAGCCTAGTGAGCAGGACACTTATGCAGACATAGAAGCTGCTTACAGGTGCATTGAAGAGAGATATGGAGTGAAAGAAGAAGACACTATACTTTATGGTCAGTCCGTGGGAAGTGGACCTGCTCTGGAATTAGCTACACGTTTGCCTCGTTTGAGAGCTGTCATTCTTCACAGCCCAATATTGTCTGGTCTACGTGTCATGTATCCTGTTAAGAAAACATTCTGGTTCGACATTTACAAGGTTTCTCCCTCCACCTTCCATATAACTGAATTTTGAGACACTTGTTCATTTATTCATTCATTGAAATGCTAACTGGCTTACCTTCTCTTGCAGAATATTGACAAAATCCCACTGGTTAAGTGCCCAGTTCTGGTAATGCATGTGAGCATAACTTTCATCCTTCACAGCTGTTTATTTTTCATGATGAACTATTTTCATGTGATCATAAGTAATAATCTTCTTTAATGTTCAGCCAAATATTTTGACAACATAAGCTGATTGAAGTCCATGGGAATATTTTACAGGGAACAGAAGATGAGGTTGTTGATTTCTCCCATGGCAAGCAGCTCTGGGAACTCAGTAATGAGAAGTTTGAACCTTTATGGCTCCAAGGAGGAAATCATTGCAACCTAGAACTCTACCCGGAGTACTTGAGCCATCTTAAGAAATTTATATCAGCTGTAGAGAAAATGCCACGCGTACAGAGTGTTGACGCAGACAAGACAGACCAATTGAATCCTTCTTCGGGCTCCTTAGATCACAAAGATAAGGCCAGATCAAGCACTGACCACAGAGAGAAACCTAGAACTAGCACAGGGCAAAGAGAAAAGTCTAGGTTAAGTACAGAGAAGTCACGAACTAGTACCGACAAGCGAGAGAAATCGAGGAGGAGCATCGATCGCTTAGGGAAATCGAGGAACAGCACAGATCAGATAGAGAAAGCAAGAAACAGCTTTGATCGGTCTGTTCAAATCTCAACCATAACTCTTCCTGGATTTGTTTTGCCTTCTTAGGTTATTGCATGCACAACAAGGATGTTTTCATAAGACTAATGACTTGAACTTTCTGTTTACATTCACTTCATTGATTGTTGTGTGGTGTTTGTATGGCTGCAGGTTGGGAGACATGGTGAGATCTGTTGGAATGTGTACTAATGTGGACTGTTTGAAGCCAACTGCTGTTTCTGAGGCCTGAAGGATGTTCCAACCTTTGTAATTGGGATGTAAATTTGTTATCAAATTCCTCATTTGATTATTAGGCAAAAGTGTTGTTGGGCTGTCATGACAGAGAATATGGATGTTTCTAGCTTCATAACAACATTTCTTAATTGTTCAACTCTCATGTTTTTCATTCTTGCTCAAATGAGAATATCTCGTCTGCATTTTGGTAATTAAAAAAAGTGTGATTAGATGTCTCAACGAAAGGAGTTATGGTCACTCAAACACAAGATTTCATGTTGGGTGCTTAAATGTAAAAGTTGCTTTTGGGAGAATTATTTCATGTTGTTTGATTTCAGTTGGATATAATGATTATAAAATAATTAATTAATTAGTAGATTTTAATTATAATTGATTATGTTATAACACAATGTGTTTGGATACTGTTTTTTAAAATTAATTTTAACAGAATTAAAAATATTTGGATAATTTAATCAAAATTAATTTTTAACTATATAAATTATTATATAATTTAATTTTTAAATTTCAAATATCAATTTTTTAAAGATACAAAGTTTAAATTTTATTAAAAAAAAGGAAAAAGAATAGAGTTTGATTTTATGTTTATTAAATAATGTGCTTTTTTTAATTTTTTTTGGGCCTATCTTTGTACTTTTTCCTAATATTTTTGACAAATTTTTGGCAAAAAGCTTGTGAGAAAACGCGCATGTCTCATAATCAATTTTTGATATTTTTTACTATTTGATAAATTGGCTGAAAAAAATTAATTTTGGGGTTCAAAATCAATTTTTTCCCTTATTCAAGCAAGCACTCCATTTGGAACCCAAACTTGACTCAAAAATGAATTAGTGAGTGTTTAATGTGTGTCAAGATGGTTTGTCACAAAAAATTAAAAGAGTATGATATAATAGAATATGATTTTATTTAAGCTCTCTTTGTGTTTTTATGCTTATTTTCCCCCTTTTTTATGAAAATGCTATAAATTAAAATTTTGTTATCTAACATTGACATTGGACCAATGTCAATTGCAAGTATTGTGGATATTTTTAATAGTTTGCCTGCTAGTGGTTGATAATAACCGGGCCTAAAAACTCTTTTTTGCTGAAATCTTCTATTTTCTTTAAGCCTAACCCTGAAAAAAATATAATACCTGATATAAAAAGATAGTCTGCCAAGCCAAATCCTTATTAACGTCTCCAAGGATGGATGCTGCCATCCATTTGCCAACATAAAAGACTTTGGGGACACTATTGAAATTGAATTTTGATTTGATTTGAACTGACTTATTTATTTATTTATCCATTTAGAAGATGAAATAAGGTTTCACTGGTTGGAAAATTAATATGTGCTCAGCAAAAATGGAAGAAGAAAGGAAAACGAACCAATATTGTTTAGCAGTAAATTATTTAATTATTCATATTCTAGTTCACGTTGAATGCAAACATGTTTTTCTCTTGCATGACACCTCAACTTCTATTGTTTCATTGTGTTTTAAATAGGATTGTTTCAAATGAGAGGATACCCCATAGCAATAAAAATAAAAAAAATAAAAACCTCAAATCCTCGACTTCTATTTTTTTTTTTTTAAATTCTGATTAAAATTTTTATTTATTTTTTGTTACCCAAGATATCCTCATAGCTAGCAGTGAGACTAATCTCTTGAGGAATCTGAGCTCCATTTAATAATTGTGTTCTCTCAGATAATATTTTTCATACATACCTCTAAGAATTGAATCCTCAAAATGATGCTTAAGGGATTCAGACCTTTATCATCTGTACTACATCCACTTGGTTTTAGAAATTTTTGTTAATGAAGACAAAGTTAAAAAGATGGGCCAAGTTTATGAATTTATTATTGATTTTACTTGATTAATTTTATGTATTATTGGATGGATGAACTTCATTTGTTTTTTCAATTGAGCCGTGATATCAATTTGATTTTTTAAACTAAACTTTTAAATATATTGTTAGGCTAAAGAGTGGGAGGTTCAAATAAAACTGGCAATGATTAATGATTTTCTTGAATGAATCTCATTAGTCATATATTTTTTTTCCTCAATCAATATCATAATTCATGTGAGAACATTGTTAATGAATAATTTGTACATACCTTTATTATTATTAATGGATAATTGTGAATATTTTTGTAAGCATCTCTTCAAGCTCTTATACCTATTTGACTACCTTGATCTTAGTAAGCTCACTGATTTAAATACTTAACTCACCTAAATTTTTGTTAACAAATATAATCCCTCAAATGTAAGTCTCTACTCTCAGCTAACTTATTTGATGAAAATTTCATCTCCAAGATCAATATATCATCATAGTTTTATAAAATTTATATAAAAGTTTAAAAGTTATTAATTTATTCTCGAGCAAATGAAATTTTTTTTGAGCCAAAATGATTTTATAGTAAAAATTCAAAAATGATGATAATAACAAAATTAAATTTTATTAATGATTTAAAAAGAAGATGTTATATTTTTTATGTTATAATAATCTTAAAAATATTTTTACACATATAGTATAATTTATGTAGTACTTTTTATAATTCGAATTATATCATTTTTATTTTTTGTAAGATTTCCTAGAATAAAAATTAAAATTCAAAAATAACTTTATTAAATTTTGTTGACCAATGTATTAAAAATATTTGAGATATTTAATATTTTTCTATTTATATAAATTTAGATTGTAGAAATTGCATTAAATTATTAACAGTTGATAGTATTACTTCATTCGTTAAAAAAATATAAGATATTTTTTAAGAGTTATATATTAAAAAATATAAGGTATTTTTAGTTTTTTGATATATAATCATTACTTTTTTTAAAAAATCTCTATAAATAATAATTTTATATTTATTGCAAGGGTATTTAATGGAGATAAATATAAGAAAATAGGATTAATTAAAAAGTTAATAATTATTTTATTAAAAATAAAATTTAATTAAAAATATTTTATATTTTATATTTTTAGGAGTTATATGTTAAAAAATATAAAGGTATTTTTAGTTTTTTGATATATAATCATTATTTTTTTTTAAATGCCTTTATAAAATAATTTTATATTTATTGTAGAGTATTTAATAGAGATAAATATAAAAAAATAAAATTAATTAAAAATTTGATAATTATTTTTTAAAAATAAAATTTAATTAAAAATATTTTATATTTTTAAACGAGGGATATTTATTTTTCAATCTTTACGCTTTTATGCAATGCAAAATATAAGGAAAATGAAAAGGATACTGTGACGGCTGAATTGGCAGAATCTAAGCCTCACATTCCATCGCACGTAGCGCCAAACGAAGCCGGGTTCCTCAATACGGCTTGCTGTATTCTAGAATCATCCTTCATCTCCTAAAAGGCTAAAACCCTTGGAGGGGTTTTCCGCATTTCAGATATACATATACCACGAGTGATATCTGCTCCACCAACCTGCAACTCTCTCTCTCTCTCTCTGGCATAATGGCTCCTGTACTCAGCAGAAGCTTGGCTACTGCCTCTCTTGCTTCACTCCCCACTTCATCGCCCTTTTCACCCAGAAACAATCGAAGGGATTTGACTCTCAGAAGTGCTTTTTTACGTCCAACTAGTTTTTCTAGAAATGGCTTCTCTTCTGCTGGTTTGAAGTGGAAGCTCGAGAGAAGAAACAATAACATGGTTGTCCGGTGCGACGCCGCCATTGCAGAGAAAGAGGAGGCCACCGATGCTCCTGGTGAGAAGTTCGAATACCAAGCCGAGGTGGGTTTCTTTTAATTATTATTATTATTATAAGGGGGATTTGAGGGAAATGAAAATTTAGATATTATCAAAGTATCAAATGATTCATCATCTTTCTTAATTTCTTTGTCCCTTGAGATATACTGGAAGTCAACTACTGATTTTGTATTGCAAGTTTTAAACTTATATCCAACTTGAAACTTGTAATATACCATATGGGTGTACTTGGAATTGTGGAATTTGGCGGAAAATATTTTTCAAGGCTTAATTCGGCTCTATCTTTCCTGCTCACAACCTCACAAGTACACAATCTATGTCGGCTAGGTACTTGACATAGAAGGCGAATAGATTAAGATATTACAGACAAACACCCCGTTTGATTTTCACTTATGGGGTATATTTATTTTTGCTTTACTGAGGGGAATGAAATCATCTGCAGGTAAGTCGCCTACTGGACTTGATAGTTCACAGTCTGTATAGCCACAAGGAAGTTTTTCTTCGAGAACTTGTCAGGTGAGTACACGTCCATCCTATGTCCAAACATGCACTATAGTTGTAAAAAACTTGATATTTTAGCTTTCATGGAGAAGTGTTACTGCTTGGACTTTTGTAGTTCGTTGCTACTCCATTCTTACGCATGTACTTCCACGTGGTTATATTTTTGTTTTCTCCAGCAATGCAAGTGATGCCTTAGACAAGTTAAGATTCTTAAGTGTGACTGAACCTCGTTGCTTGGGGATGCTGGAGAGTTAGAGATACGCATCAAACCAGATCCAGACAATGGAACTATTACTATAACGTATGTTACTCTTCAATTTTATAGAACCTTTGATCTGATTATGTAAGCAGATTTATTTAAATTTTTTGTTGCTTGATATTGTAGAGATACTGGTATTGGGATGACTAAAGAAGAGCTTGTTGACTGTCTTGGAACTATAGCACAGAGTGGCACTTCAAAATTTTTGAAGGCACTTAAGGTAATTTATAGCCATCCATATATATCCATCAGTTGGATGCTGCTAAGCTTCAATCAACATGTTCGAATATATATTGTTTTAATCTTTCAGGAAAACAAGGATCTAGGAGCTGATAATGGTTTGATCGGACAATTTGGCGTTGGATTTTACTCTGCTTTTCTTGTTGCTGACAGGGTATGGTTAATTTCTCAATTGCATTTTCTTGCCTTAATTGATTGCTGTGATTTGAACTATCTTTGTTTCATGCCTTTAATGTTCTATGTTTGCATTCTAATGGCAAACAGGTGGTTGTTTCTACTAAGAGCCCAAGATCGGATAAGCAATATGTGTGGGAATCAGTGGCTGATAGTAGCTCTTATACAATAAGGGAAGAAACTGATCCAGAAAAGCTATTGCGCCGTGGTACTCAAATTACACTCTATCTTAGAGTACGTATCACTTCTTTAATTTACTTT